GTCTCGTCTTACCTTGACGGGCATTCTGGCTTCGGCCGAGCCGCCTTTGGGAATGAAGCCTCGGTCGTCATGGAAGGCCGAGCAGGCTTTATAGTTGGTTTCATGGTACGTTTTGACGTCGGCGGAGTGCTTGTTCACTATGGTCACCGTGTAAAAATCCTTGTTCAGGCATGTCGGCGTGGCATCATCTCGAGGTCCGAACGAAGGCGCGGCCGTCATGACCGGGGTCACAAGGGCAACGGCGGAGGAGGCGACAAGAGAAGAAAGGGCGAGCGTAGGAGAAGGCGCCTCGCGAGTGCCAAGGCCGGCAGGCGAGGCGAGCACCGAGGCCAGTAGGGCCACGAGCCAGAGGAGGAGTGCCATGAACTCCATGGCGTCGGACTTCTCACAGGTTAGCAACCTGAAGGCAGGCAGGCGAAGCAGGAGAAGGACGTGAGGGAGACGAGGTAGAAGAGGAAGACGAGGAGTTTGTCGGCTGCGACTGATGATCCAGAAGACAGAATGAGAGAAAGGCAGAGAGAAAGGCAGAGGGGCTTCTTATACTACAGACTCTTCATTCTGTTTTCCTATCCATCTCGAAGAAAGGCTGTCCGGTGCCAGATCCAGACAAGGTTATCGAAGCATAGACTCCATGACGAGTCGCCAGTCAAAGTTTGACGAATCTGACGCGTACAGCACGGGGCAGCAATGAGATATCAAAAAGACCGCATAAAATAAATTTTCTATCTTGTAGGCAGGCATCTATCTCCTTGGTCTCTGTGCTTCTGCCTGTGAGGTAAGGACCGTCCCTGCTTGACGCATCCCTCATCAGCGAACCATGTAACGTCCATGGTAAACAGGCCCCGGCTCGGACGCTCGAGTGGAAGCTCCAAGCTTGCGTTCGGGGAACCCTTGGAAAGACGCGGCGAAAGTGGCGACCGAGTGGGCAACAAGCTGTAACGCACGAAGGGGGGCGGTGATGTGAGTAAAACGAGCCATCGAAATTTGAGTTGCAGGAGGAGGTAAAGGGATGACCGCGAGGTGACGGATCAATCCAATCTACTTACTTGCGTGTTCACCAGCCATGCTGTAGCGTTTACGTTGCCGACGTCGTCGCAGAGCTGGTGGTAGCAGGGGTCGTACCAATCACCGGCCTTGCCCCCAAACATGCGCTGCTCCCTCTTCGTCTTGACGCCCTCGGCGCCTGTCGCGATGCCACCGCCCGGTATGCCGTTCTTGATGAAGGCGTCGTAATCGCTCCGCCCGTCGAAGGGGATGAAGGTGTAGTTGAGGCCCTTGGACTCGTACCAGTCGACGTAGAGGTTGCGTAGCTGTTCCGACCCCTCGGGATTGGCAGCGTCGGTTGCGTTGTAAATCTGGTACGCAAAGTTCGGGCTGCCCATCATGTCGTAATCCATGAAGAGGCGGATCTTCTTATTCTCCTCCTCAGGGAGCACGTCCACGTAGTAGTCGGAACCGAGAAGCCCCTAGTGTGAGAAAAAAAAAGAAAGAAAAAAGCTAATTAGCGAACGTGCGGAATCAATCGCCTATACATTTTCGCAGTCAAGGAAGGGGGCACTTGAGGATTGAGCATGCAGTTCCTGCCAGGAGGGCAAGGAAAGAGCAGCCTTGAGCAAAAGAATTCTTCCGCACGGTTCACACACGGCGGGACTCACCTCCTCTTCTCCCGCCCACCACGCAAAGCGAACGCAGTTGTTCACAGTGAAATTCGTCAGACGAGTAGCGACCTCGAGCAATGTCAGGCTGCCTGATCCGTCATCTGCACGATTATTCACACGGATGTCAGCACAGTTAGTACCTACTAGAATTCCAACTACCTAACCTTAACGCTTTGGTAAGTAAGTACGTACCGTTGATACCCGGCCCCTCACCAACGCTATCACTGTGCGCTCCAAGCATGACGCAGTTGTCAGGGTCACCCTCGGTCGTCTGAATGATGATGTTCGTCGTGTTGATGGTGCTGACGATGGAGTCGATGAACGCAATGGAATCCACCACCTTCCCAGCCTTTAGCTTCTCGACAATTGGGGCTGCCTCCTCACCGGACAGGCCAAACGTGGCGACGTGGTGCGGGGTTGGTGTCCCCAGCGTACCGCTCATGCCGTCTGGTTCCGAATTGAAGATGACAGCTGCCACAGCGCCCGCCGCCCCAGCGAGCTCCGACTTGGTCCCAAAGGCGCAGCTCCCCCTCTCGATGAAGGCGATGTTCCCGCGCACCTTGTCTGGGTAGTCGGACGCCTTGCACCCTACTCCCTTGACCAGCACCAGATCGCCGTAGACGGGCTGCTTGTGCGCCGTCGGCGGCGTCAGAGACATGGGGTTCGCGGACGAGGGCACGCTGTGGCCCAGCACGAGGCGCGACTCGAACACCTGGCCCATGACGGCGGGGAAGGGCTGCGTCGAGTATGTGTAGTAGTCGCCCAGCCGCTCGATCTCCGCCGCGATATACTCGAGCGTCTTCTGGTGCCCTTTGCTCCCGATGACACGCGTGGGGTGACCCCATTCCTCCTCCGACGTCTTCGCGATCTCGTACAGAGCGTTGGCGCGCTCGAAGAGGCTGTCGATGCTGATCTGAGCCTGGAGGCTCTCTGTATTGACCAGTGGCTTACTTCCTGCTTTGTCCAGATTACCAACCACCAAAGGCTGCTGCTGCTGCTGTGCAACCGCAGACCGATGGTAAGCGGCAACGGTGGCTATCAGAGATAGCCGATTGAGCACAACCATTTTATCCTGCGACCGGTCTATGAGTCTATTAAATGAGTCTAAAGTGCTACTGTAGGATAGGGAACAAAAAAACAGGAATAGATGCTGAAAGGCAGTCAAATATCAAAGATGGTGGCTGGAATCAAATGTTTACCATGTACTATTAACGTTGATTGCGATGTCGGCAACTGACGTATTGTTGTCTAACCTTAGCTATCTGTACGGGTTGTCATCACCGGGCCAATGACTCTCATCAGCTGAGATGCCAATGCCCCTTTTCTTTCCTTATCAGGAATGCCGGCTCCTGCGCTACAACCTAAATACAACTAGCGCATATGAGTAAAGATATCTTGGCAGGGGTTCGAGATAAGATGCGGACGGAGAACAAAGGATGTGCATTGTCCTTGGCTCAAACAAAGCACTTGGTAAAGAACATGCTCCCTGTTGTACGAACTAACAAGGGAACAAGGGATTGTTGGTATAAACATTTATTCCAACTGCTAGCTCTTACAATTGAATGACGGTGATTTCCGTCTGGATATAGTGTACTGCGAGGTAAGTTATGATGTCTCTCTACACAAGCGCTCTGGAAGTCTTCGAGCTCGCCCTGATATGGCCGACGCATGCAATTCCTCCCCAGGCGCACAGACCAAGCCTTGTAGAATTGGCCATGGAGATCCGTGACAGGGACGTAGCCAGGCAAGGTCTTCAAATACTGCAGCAACTGCAAGACTCTGGAAGGTCCGAGAGGGACATTCGAGATGAAGTGCGCTGTCTCCGGAACCTTGCAAAAGAGAATATCAATAAGCTGAATTCCAGCTCGCACGGTTCCCCGGGTTCGCTCTACGCGGAACGCCTGCACCGGGTACTATCTGAGCTAGACGAGGCGATCAATCCGTTCTTGGAGACTACGTGGATAGGGGCGCCGGTCCCTTACAGCGGTGCCACTGCCACTACCAAGCGTGTCAAGAAAAAGAGGTCTCGTCCAGAGCCCGCTCGCTGCCCGCCGAAACCCATAAAGAGGAGGAAGACGGGGAACATGAATTATTTCATGCCGCCCGAGCTCATGTCGATGGTGATCTCACATACCTTGCAAGCAGCAGAGCCCAGGTGCGCCTTCGACCTCGTCGCTCCCGACTGGAACATATGTCGATACGAAAATGAGGTCATGGAGACGAAACTTGAGCATCTCGGGCGCATGCTGAACTCTGCCCGGGTCGTGACCTACACCCGTGGCACGTCTTCCAAGCCAGGTAAGATCTCCCATGATTTCGATCAGAGGCAGAGGGAACATCTGCTCACCCCCTTCGCCATCCTCGACCCAAACGCCATACCCGTCAACACGATGTTCTCTTCGGAGTATCTGAAGCAGTTTCACTGTAATAGGACACACGTCTTCACGCTCAGCGTGGATCCAGACATCTCCAGCAACGCAGCTAACCGACGAGAATCAACAAGCAACAGCAGTTGGCGAGACGTGATGCCCCTCCGTGGCCAAAAGGCCAGGGCGGTCCTGCCGTACGACGACGAGCCGGCCGACGCACCCAAGGTAAGTGCGTTCCTGGGTTCGGCGCCCGTGTACCATAATCTGCGCCACATCGCGGTGCATTCGCCGCTGGAACTGATGCAGGTCAACGCAGAAAGTCTGATGACGAGAACAGCAGGACACGTGACCAACAACGTATTTGGTGACCCCAAAGGTCTGGACGACGCGCTGGATCTGGACCGGTCGGCCCACCTATGGCTGTCGTGGTCGCAGATGCCACGGCTCGAGAGCGTGTTCCTGGACCTGCGCATCTACAGCCACGACCTGAACACGGACCGGCGGTGCCTGAGCCGGGCACAGGTCGTGGACCGCGCCCGGGAGATGGGCCGGCATCTGCAGCTGCGGACGCTGGTGCTCGTCGGGCTGCAGAGCTACAGCTTCTGCCATAACTCTACGAGGTACGACGAGACGCACATCGAGGACGCGGACGAGATCGCGGGCGAGCCGAACTGGATCAAGGTCTTCAGGCCCGCCGTGAGGCCCGGGGGTAAGATCGTGCTTGTTGATAAGCTCGTTGATGAATGACCTCGGTGAATTCTTGAGCTTGATGTCCGCAGCTAAAAGTAAGTAGGGCAACAAAAAAGCGGACAAAATACAAAAAGAAAGCGTAAGAAAGAAGATGAGATGGCGATTCAAATCTCTTTAGCTAGCGATTGTTTCGATCAATCGACCTCCGGGTTATGAGCCCGGCGCTCTTCCACTGAGCTAGCTAGCTTTTTTAGCTTTACAGCTTTTTTCTGAATCGTCAAAACGCCCCAGGCGGGGGTCGAACCCGCAGCCTTCGGATGGCATATTTTCCCTCCCATCCAGTAAGGTCAGTTTTGATAACCGTCTGTTTGGTACTAGTAAAAGTCCGACGCTCTAACCAATTGAGCTACCAGGGCGACTCATGTTTGTATGCTTAGTGGCCTGCTAAAGGAGAGTCTTGTGATACTCCGGGAGTGAAGTGAGGTTATTTGCTTGAAAGGGGGAGCATTCACAAATAGCAATAATATTGTTTGGGAAAATCAAAGCAAGGAGAGGTAAGTATGGTAAGAAGAGGAGGTGGCAAATGTACACGAACGTCAAACGGTCAAAATACTGTCATCATGGCATGGAGTTGAATATCTTGAAAGATAAATAAGGTTGCCTCTTTGGGCTTAGTGTACAGTGAGGAGAGATGAAAAGAAGAAACCGAAGAATGCTGCAAACGTTACCAACACCGTAACACATAATTATTACAGTATATCTATCGTCCCTGAACATGTCGGGAAAAGTAATACCAGTTGGCAGGTAAGTCATGTATGTGTATGACTGGGAATACTGCCTACCTAAGGCATCATCTTAAAAAAGCGCACCCAGTTTTTGACGCCGCGCGAGGCGTACCGTGGCAGCGTCGCCGTCAGACTCGCCACCGTAACCGTTCTCCGATCTGGCAGCTTCAACGCTCTTCTTCCGAAGCGAGTCCAAGTCGAAGCCCAACTGAGGGAAAAGTTGCTGCCACGTAGGCCCGGCGACGGCGAACTGGAAGGGCGGCGTGACGGGCTCGCACAACGTGTCGGGTTTCGGCAGCGTGCCGTGGAGGAAGTATGCCTGCATCGCGCGCGCGGTGCAGAGAGAGGGGTGTTGGATAGATGAGTGCTTTTTTGCGTGATTTTTCAAGTCAGTATCCACTTCACTTTTTCTCAAAGAAAACAAACCATGCTTTCAGGTTATATATGGGAAAGGACATATTTAACCTACCCCGACACCTCCATGCTGAAGCAGTACACTCGGCTTGATCGTGTCCGTGAGGTTCCTGGCCGAGATGATGGACGTGGCCGGATCGTACGTGTTCCCGATGACCAGGAGAGGCTTCCTCGGCCTAACGCCGTGGAAACCGCCTCTGTATCTCTGGGGGGCTTCTACTTTCCACTGCGCGCAGATGGCGTACAGGGGGGCGATGGCGTCGCCCAGCAACCTGCTCTTCGCGGCGGCTTGGTCGAGAACGGAAGACACGTGGTCGAAGGAGTCGGATCGGGGAACCTTATCCACGCACGCTATCCCCACCTGTGCGTCGTTCTGCTCGGCCACGTTACTGCTGCTCGAGGTCAAGCCGTATAAACCCTCGCCGGCCAGGGTGTCGTTGCGCCTGGGGACGAGGAGGGAGTCGAGGATGTCGTTGGCGAGGAAGTGCCAGAGCTGCGGCGCGTACAGCGCGAACCGGATACTGGACTCCAGCTGCGCGTACCCGATGACTAAACCGTCGTATGCGAACGGTCGGCGCCTGAGCTCGTCGATCAGGTCATATGTTTGCGCTTCGAGGGCCGAGGGGGCGATGCCGGGACGGTGCTGGGCGAGTGGGCAGTACTCCGGCGAGGACACGCATTGCCGGAAGAATTCGGAGAAGGTGGCGTCGGTGGAGAGGGTGCCTGCTGCGAGGGTCCTGTTTTGAGAAGGGAGTTTGTCAGTTGGGGGTGGGAAGATGGGCATGGGCATGGCGTGGGCTGTTTTTACATACATCTCGTAGAAGTACTCGGTTGGGTTTACGACACCATCTGATTGTAAGAATTTGCGCAAGGGGCTTAGCTTAGCATGGAATTCCAGCCGATACTTCTTCATATGGGTAGAGAGAGCTCACTCACCTAACACCATCTTCTCAACACGGTCAGGAAACATGGCTACGATCTCAGCGCCCAGGGCAGTGCCATACGATAAACCTATCTGGTAGGTTAGTACGAAGAATATCACCCCTGACCACTCCCCGGTAGCAAAAAAATGAGTGTCGCAAAAAAACTGCAAAGGAGACGAGACGAGAGAAGAGACGAACCATAATACCGCAACATGCCATCCTCCTCCAGCGCATCCACGATCCTCATGGCGTCACGGGCCGTCGACGAGGAATCGATGAGCGGGCCCTTCCGCAGAGCGTCCGGGTACGAGGCGCACGCGTCGGCGTAGTTCTGCCCGCCGGCCCACAGGAGGCCGCGCGCGACGTCCGAGGCGTTGCCCGGGGGCAGCTGGTCCAGCACGGCCGCGCGGCCCGTGGCGTTGGCGAAGCACGAGTACGTCAGCGTCTCGGCTGTCCCGCGCGGGTCCCACCCGATGAGGTCGTGTTCGCCTCCTGTTATCCTGTACACATGTTGTTTCTTTAGTTGATCTAATTCTAAAGCAAACAGGATCATAGAACAAAAGAAGAGGAAGGAGGGAAAGAAAAACTCACACCTGGAACATATCCCCCAGCTCCGCGAGCGAGTACCGGACCTCGAGCCCCGGACCGCCTAGATTGAACAGGATGCTATGTCTTCTTTCGCCCTTCTCCTTGTTCTTCTTGATAGCGGGGATGCGGACAAGAGACAGGTTCAGCATCTGGGTACTGTCAGGGTCCGAGTAGTCGAGGGGCACGGCGAGGGTGCCGCACTCGACGGCCAGGGGAGAGATCTTGACGAGGTCGGCCGGGCATGGTTTCCACTGGATGTTGCTGTTGTTGTTTGCTGCAGTAGGGTATCCGCGAGTGCTGCTGGTGTTTGCAGATGCTGCTGCTGCTATTATGCTGAGAATTCCCACGAGGGATGGGAGGCGAAGAGACGGCATGATGATCATGCAGATGAGAGAGTCTGGAGACTCGAGAGTAAAATGCTGAGCTTTAGCCTTTACCTTACCTTGGACTCGCGGAAGAAGGAGGACTGTGAACAAATTCTCTGTTGTGAAGACGCATGGGAGGACGTGCCACTGATCTATATACAGGCACTTGATATTTCTCTTCTATTTATTTACCTCTTGTTCATCTTCCTGTTATTCCCGCGAGCGAGGGATTTTTTCAGCTTGATAACTTTGACATCATCATATTTCGATATACCTTATGCACTGCCTTATGATCCTTTCATCTCGATCATTTATGATGATGCTTGCCAACGCTGTAAAATTGCATAATATTATATTTTGAAGTCCTAGATCGCGGTCAGTTTCTCCTCGGCAGTGTAACAGCCCATGATTTCCTAAAACGGTAAGAAAAAGGCCAAGACCTTTTGCTTGACAGGGTTTTTTCTAGTCTACATACGGATGGAAGTCTGGAGTCCTGACCCAAAACAATGAAAGCCTGGTACAGTACGGTACAGAAGTGGTTACGAGATACTTCGACTTGTCTGTTTGGGATTCTAGTGATATGTCAAAATCCCAAAGCATATGAGCCTCTGCGAGTATGTGGCACAGTTAGGTTGTACCAAGGTAAGCAAGTAGGTATTTGGTCATCCATCCCCGGATTCTCACAAACAGCTCCCTCCATCCTCAGCCCCCCAATCTCCATCAACACCTCCTAAAAGCCCACTCGAGCTCCTCCCTCACAGGCTCCCCGGGCGAATCTCTCTTCTTTCCGTAAGACGCTTTTGCCCTCGCGCTCGTCGTATCCATCACCCGTCCACTCCCATCTCTTTCCTTCTCTTCTTTGGCAGGGATAGTCGAAAACGAAAACGCCATCCGGAAATTAACGTTCAGGATCGATGATGATGATCCACCACCACAGGGCGACCAGAGGAGGGACCCGTCCGGGAAGGTGGCGCGCAGGGAGAGGTGTCCGTTGTTGTTGTTGTTGTTCGTGTCGGTGGGGGTGATGGATTGGGTGAGTGTTTTCTGTGAATGTGAAAAAAATCAATTGTTTGTGTTAAACGTGAAGTTGCTTGGTTGTTTTGTTTATTCCTTTTTCCATTTTATTGGTGAAAAGTAAAAAGAAAAGTAGATATGAGATGATGGAAAGGGAATCGTGTATTCAGATATAAAACGAGTGTAGTAGGTAAATTAACTAACTCCCAAAAGAAGAAAAGTGATGAAAAACGGGGGAAAAGAAAAAGAAACATAAACACACACTATCACCAGCCGAAGCACTGAAATAAACAGTCACATATTGCGTCAACTTCAACTCATCCCCAGGAGGTCCCTCGCCATAATCATAATCCAGTCTCCCGCGCGAGTTCACGCTCCTGAGCGCAAACTGCCAGCCCGCGCCCCCGTCGCCGCTGATGTGCGCTTGGCAGTTGGCTGTGCGGTCGGATATAGGGGTCGACGTATGGTTTGTGGGGTATTCGAGTCCCACGTAAAAGGCGTTCATCTTCCACCCTAGCCTATGCCTCTGCTGCGATGGTGTGGTGGTGTTGCTGTTGCTACTACCGTTACTGTAAGGGGGTGGTGATCCATGCCCAGGGGTAGAGTAAGGAATTGTATTATCTTCCTCGACTTCCACCGTCCCCTGCGGACACCCGTTCCCCGAGAAACTGAGGGCTTTGATCTTTAGAGGTAGGTTGTTGTCGTTGTTGTTGTTGTTGCGAGTACTCCTCTCCTGGCTATGGCGCAATGAACCGGGTGGTACGTGGTGTGGTAGACGCGCGACGATTGAGGTTGAGGCTGAAGTCAATGTTGGAGTTGAGTATGAGGAGGACGAGGGTAGGTGAATGGGTAAGGGTAGTTGTGGAACGGGCGAAGCAGCAACAACCACACTTGAGACATCAATGCCTGGTTGCATGGCCAGCAGAGTGAAAATGAGAGTGAAAGTGTGCATGAGAGGCATTATGTCTATCTTTCTCCTTCTTCTTCCTCTTCTCTTCTTGACTTTCTTCGTGTCGAAAGCGTGCTGGCTAAATAAAGCACACACTCTTCTCCCCGTAAATATCTGTACGTGTCGACCGTTTCACCGGTGGTATGAGCAATGTAGGAAGCGACTGAGCTGGTGCGGCGTAAACGTTTATATGTTTAAAGAAGCAAATTGGATGTAAACCCAGTAGCTCCGAGAAAGAAATAATACACGATCCAATATCTTTCTACATATTTGGCATGGATAAACTCCCAGCAAGAACACACACTCTTTTCTCCTTTTATACTGTGGTATAACGTTATGAATCCATCCTGTATGCCCCCCTTAACCTGACACTTTCAA